CGAAGAAAACAAAAGTCCCATTTAATCATTATGAGAAGACGAAAATAATTGACATCTTAAAATAATAAAAACCACGGCCTTCTGGAAGTTAGCAAATAACATCAAGCATGAATTTAAACAAAAGTATGTTAAAATAAAGTGAACAAAGAATTCTTCTTACAAATATTAAATAAAACAAGTTATTTTTAAGCAAAAAACACAACCGACTTCAATTTGCCTATACAAATTTAGGTGTACCGTTAATTTTCTCATAATCCTATGATCGAATCTAAACTAAATTAGTATGGGACCACCTGTGAGACACTACCTTTCCGATAGAAAAAGGATTACCGAAATCGGTTGACTTGGTCCAAAGTTATGAGTTAACATACAAAAAAAAAGATATTCCGACGAATTGATAACCTTCTCCGTTGCCTCTGACGGCAGTCGAACCCATATGTTGATACATATTTTTCTTACCTTATATGATTTTTTAAATAGGTGGCAACTCTCCTATAGTTTAGCTAAAAATCAGAGCTTTTCAAAACCATTTCAGTTGATACCCATTTTGTAATAATTGAATTTTTTTTTTATTAATTTTAATATAATTTTTTAAAAGGTGGCAACTCTTTTTATAAAAGTAAAACCTTATTGCACATACAGTCCAAGCCTTTTAATTCGACACCTCATCTTGGAAAATCGAACGAACGGTGCGGGTGTGATGGCATTGATTTTTAAATAATTTGAATTTAATTGTTCAACTGGTAGCAACTCTTTTCCAAAAAGAAAAAACAGTTTGCACATCTACAGGCCAAGCACTTTAATTGGACACCCCATTTTTGAAAATCGAGCGAATGGTGCAGATCTTTATCCAGAACAAAAAATGCCTTCGCGTATTATATGTATCTATATCGTTCAGTTATTTAAATATTCTGCTTAGTAAAATTCAATAGCTTGAGTACTCTGTACTGGACACACCGGTTATTAAAATGTTAAATAATACTAACACATTTTCTAAGTATAATTTTTATTGCTTTTCGCACACTTTTCTGTCATTAACGTTTTGAAACAGACAAGTTAATACATATTTTATCTATTTAACATTTATTGCTGCAGTCGGAAATTTATGTCGTTATAGTTAAGAAAACCAGACTTTAGCTTTAAGCTAAACTTGCCCAGACATTGCAATTGTAATGAAATAACTATTTTATTGCCGTCAACTGGCTGCTCACGCATTCAATTTACTATAGTTATCTACTGTTGATAAAGTAAGTGGTTTAATTTGAATCAAATATGTCACGTTATGCATAAATTACTACTTTTTTAGCTGTTTTATTACAAAGAAAAAAAAAACAAAACAGAGAAAAAATAACACTGCCAAGCTCTTGCCGGGTTGCGGCTTAGGCACTGGAGTTCGCACTTTCTGACTTCCGGACGAGCTCCTCACTCATGGCAACACTAGAATGTTCTGACATCTATCGCACATTCTCTCGTTCAGATTCTGATATTCTACGTTTTTCGTCAAACATTCTGCCATTTACTTGTTATTCGCTTCGCGTTGCCGCAATATTCGCCACACTGCCCTCAACCTAAGTCTGATCGCCCCGATCAGACACGCTTGCAGTTCCAAACGCTGCAAGTCCTTCCAAGTGGTCTACCTTTACTAAAGTGGACCAGCAACACTAAATCTCCTTATTCAAAACCCTCGGAATTCCTCGCCTTATAATACTTGGCTTTCATCCTTCCACTCATAATCTGCGTACGTTGTCTCACAAGAGCATGTATCTCTCTCAGTTCTTCCTCCAGAATGTTGAACGTTGCCCCTTACTCCAAACTTCAGGTTACTAGGCAAACGAAGCTCACCGTCGAAGATTACATTAGCAGGAGTTTTAACCGTTGTTTTAAGCATTGGACGTATTTGTTTCCCAGTCTGCTCATAGGAAATGGGCCGGCTATATCCATGGCAATCCACTTGAATGGTGCACCTGCGTTATATTACTTCATCTCGCCATCACTTCTGGATTTCGACCTTTTATCTGTAGTGCACTCCGCGCGGTTAGCAATCCACTCGCGGCCAACTGCCGACAACCAACTCAATAGAACCTCTGTTTGATCTTCTCCAAGGTCTTCGATATTCCCAGGTGCCCTTCACTGAGACCATTGTGGAATTTCTTGAGAACGCCCGGAACTCTTAACCTCGAAACATCTAGTAAAATTCCGAGAGCACTGGGCATCTTCACTTTTCCGTACCCTATAAAAACAGCCAGATATCAACATCAAGCTATTCCATTGTGCCCAGTATGCCTCTGTGATTGGGCTCTCCGCTGCCATTTGAGCCTTAGTTTGCCATCTGCCCGTCTCCAGTCCATGCATCCAAAGCTCCAAGTCTGGATCTTTCTGCTGAAACTTTCGTAGCTGTTCTTCCTTCTACTCTTCTGCTGGAGTTATCGTCGTTAGCCGGGCGTCAATACTATTTTTTTTAGCCCCATCTTTTGAGCAGTGTGTACATTTCAGGCTACATGGTCGATGGGACATGGCATTAGCATTTCCGTGGGCACTTCCCTTCCGGTGCTCAATAGCGAAGTCATAACTGTTCAATCCACCGAGATAGCTGTCGTTCTACTTACCTCCACTTAACAATAACCGCTCTTAAGGTCGAGTGTTGAGAACCACTTTGTTCCAATCAACGAGACTATCTTCGATCCCGGGACTCGCTGATGGTTCAATCACACCACTCCCGCCCATTTCTTTTATGATCTGGCTTACAGCGTCCCGTTTGGCAAGTGGAACACTTCGAAGAGCTTGACGGATCGGCCTTGCGTCTTAGGCAGGGTTTTGTCAATAAGTACTTCCGGTGTGTAGAATTTTGTATTGCTTCAACAGCCCACAATTTGTTTGTCCCACAATCTCTATCAATATTCGCCCAAAACAACTGCTTCTGACTTTGGTGGAATCTGTTCGCTTTCCTCTAGGATCACTCGCTTGCTGCTGTACGGCCCATCGTATCGAAAGCTTAGTTGCACTTACATGTTGTTATACGTCATGATCCTGATCTTCATGTCGATCTGCATACCTTGTTAAAATAAAAAATCTACTCCAATGATGACTTCATTCACAACCCCCGCGACTATGAACTTGTGTACCTCCGTCACATACCCCACTGCGACTTTGCATGTTACTTCTCCTACAACGCGCGCCCCTTGCTACTGACTCATTTTAGTTTAACGACTGATTGCAGTAGGGTTCGTCTTCTTCAGTCCTGCGTTTGCGTCCTGCTGTATTGTTGTTTCTGTTGGAACCCATCATAAAATCGCATGCAAAATGGCCTGGTTCCCTGCAGCTAAAGCATTTGCCAGGTCCATCCTTCTTGCCGGTGGCACTAGGATTATTCTTACCTGCTATTGACGAGTTTTCAATATCTCCTTCCTCACGTCCGGTGTATCCACTTCCACTCGATGGGCTTTGTAGGCTCTTTCACTCGTCTGAGCATACGAGACAGTTTCAGCAAATGTTGGCTTTGGATTCGCATACGTCTGTCGCTCTCTCTGGATTTCCACCGATTCGAGGTGATCACCAGATGCGTCTCCAACTGCCAAGTGAGCCAACCCCTCAATCTGCTTGGTAGCGATCCTCTAGCTCCTTCTGGTAAATTTGCTTCCTAAGCTCGCTACTGCAACGCCTTTCCACAGGACCCATCAATTCATCATAATTGTCTCTTTCACACTGGGTAACAGTTTGCAAGATTTCCGCTGCATGTCCTTTTAACGCAACAAACAGCGCAGCGGACTTATCCTCCATGCTCCATTTGTTTGCTGTAGCTATTTTTTAGAACTGGAGCTTAAAGACTTGGAAAGGGATCGTGCCGTCAAAGGACGAAGTTTTTACCTTGGGAGCGTACGTAGAAGTAGCTGGACGATTCATCTGTTGAAGACGACCTTCCAACTCGTCCACTTGTGCCTCGAATTTATTCTGTCTCTCTTCAGTTTTATCCTGTTTCTCCTCGATTATCTCTGGTCTCTCCTTAAGTAACGCATTATTCTTGGCCAAGATCAGCTAGAGTAGCGTGATGCGTGTATCCTTCCAGCTGTGATGACAACTGCACCGAAATCTGTGAGAACATTTCCGACATATGCTTGAAACACAATACTGGCGAACGGCAAACTTCGCCGAAATGGGCGATGCTGTCGTTCAGCGTTCGCCCTGCTTTTTCGCCTTCTTAAACAGAATTAGAGCGGTAGCGAAAACAGCTGATACAATTTGGTCGCCTTTATAGTTTGGGTGGCCATCTTTAGAAAAAAACTAAACCATATTTAGAAATGATAACAAATATAAATATAAAACAAACAGAGATCATAAATTGTTTTATTTTAAGCCAGATTTAAAAAATCCACAACTCTATTTTTCAAAAACAAGAATAATTCCTGTTTATGTTGTTTTCTTCTAAAACTTTGAAAGCAAAAAAGAAATAGGCCACCTTTAAACGTACAGCTGTCATCGCGCAACAGGGCGAAATAAATAAATCAATCGCCATGAAGCGCTGCCATGCGAACTTCACATTTCGCTGTTGGCTGTATTCGATTTCATATGCTTGCGGGTGTTCTAATTTTGTGAGCGCGAATTTCGCTATAGTGAGTTCACCGTTTGCCGGCGTTGTGTTTCAGCTATTATGCGAAGAAATTGCAGACAATATCATGCTCCTATCCATACTCGTAGATGAACTAGGAGCCTTTTCTTCAATCTGTGTAGATATCTACTGGACATCCTTGTGAATTTCAGTGCATTTAAAGCTTTAGAGGCACACGATATATATCGAAATCGGCAAAAAAGTAACGGTTTGCTGATGCGTCCCCTTCCCTTCGCTACCTCATGAATTGATGTGACAGCGGCAGCACTGATCAAAACTGATTACTTCTTTGCAAGATAACCGCATCTTATCACTGCCAATACCAAGTAGCAAATGCAACATTGGGCGCGGATCACCGGTAAACAATGCCCACAACAACAAATGCTCACAACAATTCCCCATAATGTTTTGACAATTTGCTTCCTTCATTTCAACGAATTTTTTTTATACAATTGCCTGCTGTTTAATTGGGAGAACTGTAGAAAATTTGAAAAAAAAAACAAAAAATTGCTACAATATGCGCATCTAATTAATCAAAGTGCCACCACACTCAAAAATCTACCTAGCATATACATAGAAGCAATCGCCAACAGCTGATTAAATGCCGCATACTGCCTCCAAGCTTTAAACAAATTTTCCAAAACATTGAAAACAAAACTTTACTCCATTTTAAAACAAACCATTGCTTAAATTACTTAAACATCAGATTATATATTAATTAGGCAACAAAATGTCTTCCGGTTTGAAGTGTCGCAATTGTGGTTCAACCGATATCGAAGAGGACAATGCACGTGGCGATGCTGTCTGTACGAACTGCGGTTCCGTCCTAGAAGATTCATTGATCGTTTCGGAGATACAGTTCGAAGAAGTTGGACGTGGTGCAGCGGCAATCGGGCAGTTTGTGTCCGCGGAGTCTACTGGAGGTGCCACGAATTATGGCTATGGCAAATTTCAAGTAGGTTCCGGTACGGAGTCGCGTGAAGTTACAATCAAAAAAGCCAAAAAGGAAATCACACATTTGTGTCAGCAATTGCAATTAACGCAGCATTACATTGATACAGCATTGAATTTCTTCAAAATGGCATTGGCACGTCACTTGACGCGTGGCCGCAAGAGTACCCATATTTATGCCGCTTGTGTGTATATCACATGCCGTACGGAGGGCACATCACGTAAGTGAATTAAGTGTAAGGTATTTAAAAAAGGATTATGAATGATACATGTTTGTTTTTCTAAATATAGATCTGCTCATTGACATCAGCGATGTCCAACAAATCTGCTCATACGAATTGGGTCGTACTTATTTAAAGCTATCAAATGCCTTGTGCATTAACATTCCCTCTGTCGGTGAGTGAATAGAACATTATTATTGTCTTCAATAATTGTATTATAACATTTATTTTTTGCAAATCACCTATGCATATACAATGTACATTGTACATATACAATTCATGCTTCAGGAAATTATTAGGAGTTCTTTAAAATTCACGAGATTCAGTTTTTGAAAACCTTCCAAAAACCCATAAGTTCAGATGCAGACCTGTCTAATTAGTATCGATATGAGTCTTGTTGGAATTCTTTTTAGCTCAAATGCAAAGTGGGCTTTACGTTTTCACTGCCCTGCTACTAAGCATGCATACAATTTCACATCAAAAGCAGTAGTTTATTCTTCTGAATCTTTATTGCTGCAAATTTGTATATTATTCTGGTATATGTAGTTGATGTAGCGGTCCTGATGTAGGTTTCCTTCCTCAATCGTTTTTATTCTCTTTTTACAATTCCGGGCATGTGATATATGTCCATCTCCATTCCATTGTCAGCGACTATCAGATTTCAAAATATGTGGAAGTACGACGATAGCTTATTGGTTGGTGTAGTGGAGGATGGCTTCACAAGCGGTATATACGCGAATTTCTCGAGGCAGCTGAAGCTCTTCGTCTGATTTGTGTATTTTGCGAGACTGTAGAGATGATGCTTGTCTATCGGTGAATACTGTCTATGTTCTGTCTGCTCGTAGAAGTGTTTTTTAGCATCAAGATTCATAAGCATTCACAGGCTTTTGTTTTCCCGAAGATTACGTGAATTTCCGCGTTATGCTTCTCCAAAGTATATACATATATATTGTGACATGTCGGCTAAAAGACGAGGCGCCACTAGTGATTTCCACCCTTTGTTGTTGTTGTTGTTGTAGCGGCATACAAGTTCCCGAAAGGGTTTTTGGGGAGTGATGCCGGAGTGACAGTCCTTGGCCAGATATAAATACGGGTCGTTCCGGTTACGTAGACCCGACTGTCGTCGGAACGATTTCCACCCTTTCGTCGGGCTTGGCAGGTTTGTTAACCAATCTTTACTTACACCAGGTTTAAGTTGCAGGTATTCAAGTGCTGTACCCACTTTTTTCGCTAATTCAATTAGTCGATTCTCGAAGCTGGGATCACTGATATGGCTATCCCCGGGATCGGCTCGGCGTAGATTACTACTCTCACTTGCTAGTATAGCAACCTCAGCCAGAGCATTAGGACCGAGTTCAACGAGTCTACGGAAAATTATGAAGCGTGCTCCCGCTGCAGTTGGTAGGAGGAGACAGGCAAATTCATTATTGTAGCTAAAATACCCACCCATAACACCCTCGATTTAACTTTAGTCAAAATCCAGCTTTAACTCCATTTCCATATTATTAAAATTATATACATCTTATATTTTTTAATAAAACTGGTCTCTTTAACCCCCGAATAAGAAAGTCTTCTCAAAAGTAATTCAAAAATCCAAGATCTTTATTATATAAATACAAAGCTTCAAGAGATAATATAAAAAGAACACCTTTAAATAGAATTTGATAGCAAAAAGCATAACTTATATTAAAATAAATTGCAGAAAAAGGCACCTAAGTATTGCCTTTGATGTAGGCGAATGCCAGTTCTAATCCAACATTTGTGCATTGTTTGAGTTTTTGCATTAACTCCTTGCTGACCATTTAAATTTAAATCTCAAACGCAACACAAACACTTGTACCTAAAAACTAAAAACAAAGCAATGCAAAAACTGTCTGTAAAAAATAATCCAGCGTAAATGCAAGGTGTTAAATGACGAAAATGCAATTCATTTCCATTGATAGCAGACCTTTAAAGAACATTAAATATTCCAATATCGATACAGTGATTATATTATATTTATATACGTGTCAAATAGACGTAAGACAAACGCTAAAATGCTACGAGATTGCTAATTGTGGATTCGACTATGTGTGGCATTTGTATTTGCATTAATAATGAAACGCTTAATTGCTTGCAAACTAAACTCATACTATATTAATGTCTTTTCGCAAAATGTTCAAATATTTTTTAATGTTTTCAAGTACGAAGTATGCATATGAATACTTCTCTTCCTTTCGAGTATATGAAAAAACTACTGAAAAAAGTACTAACATGCTTTGTAATGTGTTTATTTATATAGTTGTATATGTGTCAATATGCATTCAAACCTTTTAATATTTCTCACCCTACTAATTTCTTATTTGGCCTGAATGTTGTTCAGGATTTAATAAATACTAGATAAATACGTAACTTTGTAGTAAATTTCTTTCTTTTCTCGATCATGTCAAATGTATGAATGTACATATGTAAGTAGGTATGTAATTTGCAATTGCTTGTTCGTTTACTATGTTCCGCAGGTTATTGTATTAATTTCAATCCAAAATACTACATTCTACAAGTCTTTGTAAGTGTGTTTTAGTGTTTTTTAATATGCCTTTAGAATCTGTTTTACCAAATTTGATTGCCTTTTTGTGTTTTTACTCCTCATTCCGAATTTCATTCAATTATGTTGTCTGAATGTTAATCAGCTTACGTCATTCATTTGATTTTAACTTAAACGTAAAGTAAGTGTTTATACATGCTTTGATTTGTTTAATGTACATATTTGTAAATATTGCCTGTATTTATTTATTTGGTTGTCCATTCGCTGACTTCTTTCTAAGAACTACATATTAATCCATTTCAGTTTTAACACTAAATTTCACAATGAAAAACCATAGGTTGCAATTATTTGTTCTCCTCAAGCTTCTCATAAGAGTTCCAATTCATCGTCCTTGCAATACTCCACTATTTCTCATGCGCTCAGTGCACCACTGCCGCTGCCACCAACTTCGCTGCTGGCACTACCCAATAAGTCATCACAATTTACGTGTAGACCGCCGCCATTCGATACGCCACCACTGCCGCTACTGCCAGCACCAATTGGTGTAGCACACAGCGAATTAGTAGGTGAATTTAAACCAGTAACAATTGTCGGCCCATAGAATATCAGTTCAGGTATTTGACCACCCTGCACTCCAGTGCCGTTTGTGCTCTCCGATGAGCATTGGAACTGGAATGTTACATTACCCATGCACACTTCGGACATGCCCTCCTGACCGAAAAAGCTCAACTCATTGCCATCAAGTATCACGGAGGCGGTGTAGTAGCACTCTGGTTCAATCTGTATGGGATTCTCAAAGAACACATGGAATGTGTTGCTTGAGCCATCAGAGAAGAATTTCGTGTCATTTTCGGCGAGGGTGCGTCCGAGGCGTTTTAATTCGATTTTTACATTATAATTAGCAGCACCGGTTGAGGAACCATACAGACCGAAACCAACAATAAAAATTCTAAATAAAAATGTGCATAAATAAGCTGTGATTTAACTCCGATAGCAATATGTACATACCTGCGATCCACTGAAAACTGTATTGAATCACAACGCCCGCGATAACGCCATTGGTTCGAGCGATAAGCGCATGACTGAAAACGGTGACAAACTTGTGTTTTCAGACCGGCACGTGCACGTGTAGGGAAACTTAAATGCGGTTTAGATTGTGCGGTAAAATGCAAAAATATATCAATAGTCTCTTGTGATGTGAGTATACCCGTTTGGGCGACGCCATTTGCAAACTCCTCCAAAGTCATGGTTGGTATGCGTATTAAATGCAATGCTTGTCCCAACATGTTGCGTTTATTCTGTGGTGTGACATCAATGCCCATTTTTTGACAAGCATTCAGAGCCCAATTGAGCGCTGCCTCAAAGAGATGGATCTCCTTGCAGTTTAGCGTCTCACGCGACAATATCGATTCGAACGTTTTTAGATCGATGTCGACAAAGTCTTCCGATTTAATCGCCATTTCGGCCTGCATAAAAACAAAATGTATGTTAAACACGGCTCAAAAAATTTACTTCGCATAGATAAAACAAAATCAGCATATTTAATTAGTTAACTCACTTGTGCATCGATTACTTCCCAGCATCGCTGCATCAACTCGGGCTCTTCGAATAGACGCGATTGACTGAGAAGTAGACAGGCGTTTTTTGCCGTCAATTTGACTTCTAAATAATTGACGCATGCGCGTGCTAAATGTGGCACAATATATTTTTTGGCCGCATATAACGTAGCCAAAATGTTATCAGGTTCCAATTGAATCTCATCACAATATAGGTATCTAGTTAAAAACATCAACGAATATCTTTCTTAGTAAGGAAACCATTTTCGATCTTATATTTCTACAATGCCCAACCTTAACAGCGTTAAAAACGCAGATGGCTCCACATCAGGCACTTTAATTTCCTGCTTGTTTTCGGCCAACCCACCATAAAACATAGCGTAGAACACCGAACTGCCCGTAGCCAGGATATACTTGTGCGCCGGTATAGTTTGTACGCAATCTGCTAATATAAAAATTTTAAAAGCACATATAAACTTCTGAGACATACAAACGTATGCACAATATATGCATTTGATTAATAGCAACATACCAAATTCCCCTCCAACAACAAATTTTACATCCGACATTAGCTCATTGTTGAACATAGCAGCATTCCGTTCGAGCACCGTCGCTTTTGTGGCCTGCCAGTTCGGATCAGCCGTATCGACCGCATTCGCAGTTGAATTGTTTGACTGGTTAGCTGCACCAGCATTACATACATACGAACCACTGCCACTACCACCGCCGCTGCTACTGGTGCTACCGCCAGCTGTACCACCCGACGAGCTTGACGGCAAGCAGAAGAGCGCCGAACTACTAATAGCACCCGGCGATGCAAGTGGCGACGAGGGTGCGCTGATGGGTTGTGTTATTTGTATATTATGTTCACCGCCGCCAGTTGCAATACCGCCGCTACCGCTTGTAGGGCCACCAGCACTGCTGGCACCACCACCACCACCTGCTGCTGCACCGGCGCCTACTCCAACCATGGCACTACGTTGTTGTTGCTGTTGTTGTTGATGGTGATTGTTTGCCGAATTGTTGTGTGGCGGTGATAAGAGTAGACCATTACCATTGTTTAGCGTTTCCACTGTAACGATAACATTTGCAAACAAAGATGTGTTAAGCATAGATAAGCTAACGTGAACCATAGATAAAACACGAGTACGTTTACTTTTTAATTTAGTCGCGTCGGTCCGAAATATTCTTCGAAAATCGAAATTCCCTCTAGCCATTTTGTTGTACGCAGCTCTTTTGTTTGTGTTTTTGCTCATTATCAAGGGAAAAGTCTTACTTTACTAGCACTACTACTAATATAAAATATATATTTTGTATATTCATTTAAACAATGATTCGTTCTATATCGTGTTCTGACGTATCCGAGTTACTATTATTGTTTGACGATTTTGTCTCAAGTGATTTCAATTTTATACACATGTGTGGTGAAAATTTAGCAGCCGCTTATCAGTAGTTGCGGAAAATTTGTGGTTTTTCGTTTCATTTCTGACTAGCAATATTTACATATACCAAAGTTGCTTAAAATACATGCAACATATGTATGTACGTAGGTAAATATGTACTGCCATGTAATACTTTATTATCAGGTAAGTACATATATGACTTACAAAAAAGGAATAACAGCTAAAGTCGGCAGATTGATTTTAGTATAATGTAACCATTACAACGGATGCTTGTAAACTTTGTCCTGCATTTTAATAAACGTATTGGCGAACGAACCAAGTAAATACAATTTTGAGTTAGGTATGCAAAAGGCATCTGTCTGTATGTAGTTTTAAAATTAAATATAAACAGCCTTATCACGAATTTTATTTTCCCGAACCAGTTCACTTTTCGCTTTGGTTTCCATTTACTATGAGCGGATGACAACTTTCGGGTGATTTTTTTTTCGGACGAAACTCGGGATAAGGCAGACTGTGTATTTTTCGGGAGAATCTCGGGATAAGACAGAAATAGTGGGGATATTTTTTGCATTAGGATAAATGCAGATCCTGTAAGGCAAATATGTTCGAGTCCGATTTAAATAAAATTGAATGTATTCAATCGAAACTCTGACCAAAAAGGAGAAACTGCAATCCATCGCAAGTAAATAATGACGAAAGGGGTGACAACTACATATGGGTACTAATGTATGGGCATAGTTCGGATCAGATCCTAATGTGGGCACTCAACTGCCTTGGGGAAAAATGCTACACCTAAAAATGAGTCCCTTAAACAAAGTTTTACTGAATTTTCTCGTAGTCTCACAGTACTCAAATGAACCCAGTTAAATATATGTGTGTACATACGTACATACAAGCTACAATTAAGTTGACCGTCTGAATCTACATAATCAAAACACTAAAAATTATTGTTAAAGTTTTTAAAAGCCATGTTACATTACCTTATCGCTAAAAGTATAAAGGAATCCAAAAACAAAAAATCAATAAAAATGCCACTGGAGTTACTTCGGCTGCATTTTATGAATTGGTATGTAAAAATATTTTGCTTGTTTCATATTTATGGCAATGTTTCTTCACACATGCAGCTTGCTATGCACTAGCACCTACATACCATTTATCCATGCATTCATTTGTGAATGCGACATCGCCTCCTGGTTCCGCTTGTTAATAGACTTCAGCGAAAGTCTATTGTTGTTTGCCATTGAAATAAGCGCAGCACTCAAGGACTTTTCAGGGTTTGAATATTGTAGATGGGGGCCAAAAGTATACACAAAAAGTTCGAAAAAGTTTCGCAAATATTTACTAGAACCGTTTAAGCACCAACAAATGTCTTTCTGGCATATCAATTCACAACGGCCCAGTCTTTTCTTCCTTTTTTCAAAAATTTTCCAATTAAAATTTCATTTAACTACACTTTTTTCATTAACTTTGTACATTTCTGCCATTTTCAATTCACTTGTTTTCTTTTTTGTTGAGCGAAATGACAATTGGGGCTTCTGCAATGCTGCCACTTCTTCGGGTGATGCTTGTAGCGCTTGGCTTGGTTTTCGAACTGCTTTTGTTTACAACTTCTCAAATATTTTTCTGTATTTATCGCTGTTGTGTACAAATATAATAAACATGCTGCTGCTACTTAGATTATGTAGTAAAAAATGTTTAAATGTACAGAAAATTCTTGATTTCATTTAGTTTTTTGTTTGCATAATTAGTGTGGCAACTCGGGATGCACCATTTTGTCTTCGAGTGCTAGAGCGCAGGTGCAAGAGCGTGACAGCACTACATTGCATTAACAGGGTTGCACGGCGCTGAGAAACAAATGCTTGGATAATTCTAACCGCAAATATGGCATAAGTAGGAAATTGTTAGATTTAAGAAAATATATAAAGAAAATGCTTGTACATTTTCTGCCGTACAATTCTATTCGTTATGTTTTTATCATGATCCCTACTACTTCAAACTTGCACTTTACTATAATGGAATGGGCTACAAAACTGTATACTCAAAGGCCCGTAGATATAGAAAAGTTTAAAAAAGGTTTTAACGATTAAATTGTGTTTTATAACAATCACTATATTTATTATGTCATAGTCAACTTTTAACTCCTCATTAGGAGATGATTTTAAAATGTTAAAACATGGTTTTAAGTTTTGCTAAGTTTTGTTTTGCGGTTAAAGTAGTAATCTCTTGTATCACCCTGGTTCGGCCCCAATCCAAGCGATTCTTTGTAGTGTTTTTTATTTTTTGGTTTAATTATAAACACTAATTTATTTTTTGTTTTATGGTATTTCACATAATTATTTGAAGGTACTAAAAATTCTAAGAGTATAATTTTAATTAAAAAGTGCAAAACAACTATACAGTACAATCAAAAAAAGTAAAAGTAATAAATAACGGCAAAAAAAAATGTTTGCTTGATTCGATTCCTAAAAAAGAGAAATAAAGCCCATTGGTGTTATTTCCATTTCGAAGGGGAAATAGCGCCCACCAATAAAAGGCAATAGAACCCGCGGGCTTTATTTCCTGTGAAGGGGAATATGTAGATAAAGAAAATGGAAAATATAAAAGTAAAAACAAAGATAAATATAAAGAAATAGATGAGGATGAGGATACCGATAAAAGTAAAGATGAAGGTAGAGGAAGTAAGATTAAAATAAAGAAGGTAATTAATAGAGAGAAGTACATATGTAGATAGACACAGAGACACAATCTGGGAATTTTTTTTTACTTTAGAGATTTTCGGGATTCTCGGGACTTATCGATATTTTTGTCGCTGTTGTTATCGATATTTTTATTGATTATTTATAGATTTTGTTATCGATGTTTTTATCGATTTTCTAATTGATTTTTGTTTTAGGTTTTTTATAGATTATTTGTCGGTTTTGTTATCGATTTTCTAATCGATTTTGCTACCAATATTACGAATTTTGCTATCGTAATTTTTATCGAAATTGTCATCGATTATGCTATCGATTTCGTAATCGGTTTTTTGATCGATTTTGTTATCGATTATTTATCAATTTTGTTATTGATATTTTTATTTATATAAAAAAATAACTAAAAGAAAATAACAAAAACAAAAAAAAACTACCGGCAGTGGGATTTGAACTCACTCAGATCACTTGCGACATTCATCCAGATTAACGCGGTCGTCTGCCTATTTGAGTGTCTTTTACAATAAATGTTTACGAAATCATCGGTTCGAAATAGGATTCATGATTACACTACTCAACAAATTTTCAAGTTATATTTTTGTCTCAGATAAGACTACACAACGGAAAAATTTAGATTATTTTTTCAAACAGTCATTTTAGGCTTAAAATTGTTGCTCTTTTTCCTTATTGCATATGAAAAAGCTTTTGTAAAATGCATAGCGAAAGCATATTCAAATGATTTTTTTAATTGTTTATTGTCCAGTCGTTTCCGCGATATAGTTGTTTGAAAAAGACGTTCCTGTTTTTAAATGCCCGTTACTTTTTTAATGAAATTTTTATTTTTCCAAAAAACACGTTCTGATCGACTTGAAAATGTTTAGGCCAAATGCGGTAATGGCATTTAATTTTTAAACTAATGGAAAGCTAATAAATTTTGTCCCACTCAACGCATTCATCAAAAAGAAAAAAATACTACATCGTAGAGAAAGAATGGCTGGATAAAAAAATATAAAAGAAAATCAGGGCGGCCTTTGCAAATTAGTACTATAGCATGAACAAACTAATAAGATCACGCAATCGGAAAATAATGAAAAAAGTTAATTTCTGAGCGTTTTTGACATCTGCCTAAAAATGAAAGCAAACAAAGATTATATTGGTATTTATTAAAAAATATAAAAAGTGAAACTTGATGACAATAAGCAAAAAAAGTTCGTAAAATATGGTTTTAATGATTGAGAGTGTTTTACAATCGCATATTATCGGCGCCACCGGTGCACCGGTCGATTTTTCAATGCCAATGTTCTGACCACAAATGTGCACCCACTTTTCAAGCAAATTTACGCCTCTTGGCAAATCAAACAGATGCACAAACTTGTTCCAATCACAAAGTACTTCATATTATATCATAAATTTGTAATAAATCAAAATTTATAATTTGGGGTGTTCACAGTTCGTTCCAAATAGTGTCTCAAAATGTAGACGTCTACATTTTAAGACGTTTTCTAACCGGTGTTGTTGTTTCCCATACAAAATTGGAAAACGACGCCGTCTACATTTTGTCACACTCAAAGGTATGTTTTTTACGCGTCTACATTTTGCAACCTCGCAGCAGGGTTGCATTATGGCAATACTAATCACACTTTTTTTATTTATTGGGCACGTTTTCTGTGTTTGCATTTAATTTGAGCGCAATTTCTGACGAAAAGAAACAAATCAAGGAAAAGAAATAACAAATATAACGAATTGGTAATTAAGTTAAATAATTACAATTTTTCAGAAACAAAATCGAAAGGCGATATATAAAAAATGCACGCAAGGAAGAAATGTCTGGCAACACCAGCAAAGTTTTCAGACGATTTTGCGACGACTGCTAGAAAGGGGTGCTCACAGTTTGATGCTAAATATGTCTCAAAATGTAGACGTCTACATTTTCAGACACAATTTGGAACGAACTGTGAACACCCCAATTGAAATCGCTG